TTATTTTACTACTGTTACTCTTTAGGTAGGCATTTGGGATAGGTTGACTGGCAGACCGTCAACATTGTTACTGTCTATGTTTGCAGTAGAATGTATGTGGTAGCTGAAGAGCAGATAGAGGAAAGACCTGTTCTCTTGGTCATTTGTATCGAGAGCACAGCATGTACAATGAGGTTTGCAGGGATTGAAAACTCTAACAGCTTCATTCTGTGAGTGAAATGATGACCCAAGAATAAAAAAGATAGCATTTAATCTTCTGGACTGTGCATTCGTAGTATGTTTTATATTGTATGCAGGTAAAGTGTTGGAAAGTTGCTGGTAAAGTACCAAGTCCTGGAGCAAATGCAGTACATTCTCAATGTTGTTTTTTTTTCTTTCTTCTTTCTTTTTCATTTGTTTTGTTTTTTGTATTTATTGAACAGTTTGTCACAATTTTTAAAGTTTATTTGGCAAGTGAAAGTATTGTAAGATGTACAAAGTGATGATGTGACTGTATACATATGAATATGTGCAAAGGCCACGTTAAAATAAACCTCAGCGGGACTGACACAACTATTACTATTTAAATGCAATTGATGTTTTCATGCAAGAAAATGCTTAAGCTCTAGTATGCCACACACATAAAGAAGTTGTACACATAATACAAAAGCTAGAAGTCTGAAAAGTAAAAAATTATGATAGCTGTGCCAGGGATTTATGGGAGAGAAGTTGGTCCAGAGCACAACTGTCGTTAACAGAGATATTCCTGAATGAGCATCATTCCATTTGGCTGATGCAATTGAAGCAACTTGAAAAAAAAAAACTCCTTATAACTGGGATTCTTAAAGTTTTATTTTCTTCATTTAGACTTGGTGAGGGTCTAAGGAACAATCTCCATATGTTACAAACAGTTTCTTTGGTGATGGGTGAGAGCAACTCTTACCTGCAAGTATAAGTATTTTTTAAAATGATTAGAAATTATGCTGGTATACCATAATTTTCCTATAGGAAAATGACTGCAGTATTTACTCCTCCAAGGTCTAGGGTATCACCAGCCCCACGTAGATTGCCAGTCTTCATTGATTTTTACATCCACAACACAATCCTTAACCTAAAATTCAAGAAGTATCTCGAGAGAGAAGACTGTAAGAAGTGAAGACTACAACATCAACTGCCAGAACTTTTTTTTTTTTATGTGTGACAAGAAAGCTACACTCATGAAATCATAACTATATGGTCTCCTAAACAAGACCAACAAAATGACAACACCAGTTGATGTATTAAGGCTGACTGGGGAAATCTCACAAGGCCTAATTCTGAGATGAGGAGAAATTTATGTTTGCTGAGAGAGGGAGAATTAAACTTCCCCTCGGGTGAGCCTCCTGGTAGGTTATCCTTGTTCTATGAGGCCAGCCTTCAACATATATACATATGAGCTTCAGTCTATAGACTCAGCAGAATATTATAACAAAAACATCAACAATAATAATATTGTTGATATTTTGAGTAATCGGCAGACACATAGTTAATTAGAGAGAGATATGAGGGAGTTGAAATAACAGAGCTACATTATTCATAAATGGAATTCTCAAAAAATATTATAAAACTTAAATTCTTTGAAAGTACCAAATGAATAAACTGAAAAATAACTTACAGGCTAAATTATGCACTTAGAATTTATTATTTCAATTGAATTCTTAACTTACTTTGAAATTTACTAGTAGTTGTGTTTTACTGTGTAGGACAAATTTTCAATTAGACTTTCACATAAAGGTTTAGCTTCTGGGAGGAACAGTTCAAGTTCACAAATGGAGTAGGGACAATAAGTCTTTTCTCCCTGGTCTTTCCTATTCAATTGTTTACATTAGCCACTAGAACTGTGCAGGATCCTGAGAGTAACATGGCATCTGTGTCTTCACACAGTGAAGTTTGCTCTCTGGAGAAGGATATCTCCTGTGTTTCACCACCATGTCCCATTTTGGCACCTGTCTGAAACTAATGATTTTAAGTCATTATGGGTAGTGGTTACTAAATCCCACTAGTGGCATCAGTTTCCCCCTTTTCTTTTCACTGAGTCTGAATACACTGGTATCCCTAAAGAAAAATACTAAATCCCACTATATGGCACTCTCTTACCTGCTAAGCATAAGACAAATTAATGATCACACAGTGATGTATAATGAATACAGGGACACATTATCAACATTAGTACATGAATACCTCCATTCAGTCTACTCAGAGCAACATATGAAAACTGTTGTGAAGTTCTGTAATCACATAAGGAGAGAAAGTTGGGATTATAGGCAAATGAAAGTACTTAAGTAGTAGAAAGTTCTTTGAGAGTATTTACAAAGGATATCAGCAGCTTGAATAACAGGAAGCAACTGGAAGAGGAATTTTGTATGTTCCTGTAGTTAGAATCTTGTATATACAGCAGTGAAAGCAGAGGTAAGAGTTTACTTAAATTGTGGAACCATCCTTTGTTATAGAACTTCACCTACATGATCACACTCATATTCTGACTCTTTGAATAGTGCTTTGAATCGATTTCTAAATATATCAAGGTAGTTGTAAATTGTTATCACTAACTCAGATACTTTTCAAAGTTTCATTCTACAGCAAATAGCCTCGAGAATCAATATGTCCCTGACTGTACCAGTGTTAACAGTTGCCCTGAAATACCAATGTAGCACTCTCTTCCTGTATCCTGGCTCAGTGATTGTTCACTTGATAGTTGCAAAGTATTTCAAGCTTAAAAGCAGGAAGAAGACTATGTGCCATAGTAAGTGCAATAGAAATCCTAGACAAACTTTTATATGCAAACTTCTAGACCCAAGAGTTCCTGAAAGGATGACTAAGCTTAAGTTTTCTATTAAGTGTTCTTAATGAGTTTACATTTCAAATGTAAGTAATTATTTGCATATTATAGAGCATTTTCTAACTTAATACATCATGCATAAAATTCCTTTCACCATAGGGACTCTGGGTGGCAGGGGTGCACTGATTGTATCCCATTTTAGAAATGAAACATCTAAATTAAACTATTTCACCCAGCATGTAGAAAAGATATTTCTAAATTAAAATTTAAATGTAGATCTTCAATAATGAGCTAGGTGCCTTCCATTTCAGCATATTATGAACACTGTCGATGTTTTAAGTATTTCAGAATAATGGATGTATAAATCAGTCCTGGAGTACCTTTATCTATAAATCCATGGAAACCTTGTGGTATTTTTTTCTCACTACGTTTTGTTTGGTGAGTGGCATGCACATATGAGATACATGTTGAAGCATAACAGTCATTCAGAATACATGTCATTTAATAAATTAATAAATAATTAATATAGAAAATTTCCAATCAGAAAAGTATTTCATTTCCCTCCAAGTCCAGAGCTGGACATGTGCAGTTATTCACTTTTATTCAAACAAACATCTGATATTTGTTACAAAGAATGTTATGATGTCCAATTCTTTTGCTATATTTGTGACAACAGAAACTCAATAGGGAAAAGATGATGGATAACATGTAGATAAAAAATGTGAATATTTTGTATATAATAAGGACTTAGCATTCATCCATGATCACAGGAATCCCACGGGAAAGACAAATCTATTCTTTGAATAGAACCAGTAGAACAAGATCACCATGAAAATTCACTAATATGCATAGATATAAGGTGAGTGCTTACCTAGAGCTAAGAAAAACCAATGTGAAAAAAAAAAGAAACTGGTTTTACTCTTGTGAACAATTGGGAGCTAAGTATTTAGATGTACAAACAAACAAAGGCCCTGCTCAATATTGTTCATCCTTAGAAGGACTGTGTTTTCATATGAAAGACAGACTTCCACAAATCCTTCCTGAATTTGTGCTAATAGCATTCAGTATTTCAAATTGAATTTTATGAGTATAAACTCATATTACAAAAGGAATATACATTTGTGGAGATGTATGTAATATAATGTTAATAAAATTAAACCTGAATTATACATAGCAAAGTGATGGGAAGATGTCCTTCTGTATGTTTTGAATATATGTTTCTCTTATTGGTTAGTGAATAAAGTTGTTTCATCCAGTAAAGAGGCAGGATTTAGACAGGGGGAAAATCCAAACAGGGATAGAGAAAGGTAGTAGGCAGAGTTAAGGAAAATCCATGTAGCTGCTGAGATGCCCTTCAGAGAGTCATCAATGGTAAGCTAAGACCACATAGAGATACACAGATTAACAGAATTAGATAAATAATTAATAGAGAGCTAGGGAATAAGAAGCCTGAAGCATCGGACAAACAATTTAATAGTATAGAAGCCTCTGTGTGTTTTTTGGACTAAATAGCTGCGGGACTATGTATGATAGAAACCAGTATACAACAAAGCAATTTAATGTAAGGCTTTTTTTGAGTTGTTTTAGATTTTACAAAAATGAATTACATCTTACATCAGTTTTCCTTGTTATACTATGAAATAAATTATTATGGCTATATGACTATATTATGAAATGAATTGTGTATTTTTTAACTTACCATAGTTCACTCTTTTAAGTTAGTTCTCAGAAAAAAAGCTGTGCTTAGCAGAAATAACAACAAAAATGTTAAATCTACTTTTTCCTAAAGTTAATTTAATCTTTCACTAATAATTCGTGTAGATATATTTTACAATTCCACTTTAGAGTTAGAATCATCAACTATACGAAGCAAATTAATAATTAAAAAAGCAATTTAAAAATTCTAAGATTGCAACAATATTAATGAAACTTAAAACCATAGCGATGTGAGGAATTACATGTTTTTCTCTATTAAATTAACTACAAGGTATAGTGGGAAATTACCAATACGGAGTCAGGTAGAAATATAAGGGTATTTAATAGGGAAAAGCCTTACTTACAGCCGGCTGGGCAGAGGTCTGTACAGCAAGAAGCAAAGAGAAACCGAAAGCACAAATGCAGTCACACTACATCACTCTGACCACGCCCTCACAAGCATGGTCAGGCACACCTGTAGCCAGCCCCTAAGAAGGTGTGGCTACAGCTTCCCCTACAACAAGGCTCACACTCACTTGAATCAATACTAAGGTATATAACAGATCAATGGAAACAAATACAGATCACGGTAAACTCAGGTAACAATACAGGCATACTTACTTGCTGTGAAGGATTAGCAGTTAATAAACTACGTTTCCTTAAGTCTTATTGTAGTTTGAATGTGAAATGCTTCCAGAGTCTCATGTGTTTTCATACTCATGTTTCCCCAGGCTGTAGAACCATGAGGAGGTTCTCACTATCGATAGTGGTTTACTGGCATGTTCCTTGAGGTTTTGTAACCCATCCCCACTTGCTGTTCATTCTGTTCTTCCTGACTGAGTGTAAACACGATGTGATTACAGAGAGGCTGTTGCATTTTTGGTTGCAGAGTCCTGGCTGTATGCTATGATGTCAGAAATTGATAGTGTTGTTCAGATGGTACTTGTTTCAGAGGTATAAATGTGCTGAAATAGAGATCACAATGGTTTAAGAGAACTGAGGACAGGCAACGCATGTTAGTGATTAATTTGCTCACAGAGTCCCTGGTGGGACAGTTCACAAGCTCTGAAGATTTTTCTCCATTTTCAATGGAGAAATGACTGTCCTCCAAGTCAGTAAGAGATTTTTCAATTCACACTTTTTGTTACTATGTGGATGTATTTCTTGCATTCAATATTATCCATCAATACAATGTGTATGTACTAAGTGTTTTAATTTCATTTTTCCATGTTTTCCCATTTGTCTCCATTTTCAACAGAGACCATGGAGTGTTTGAGGTTTCAGAATTATGAGACATTTGATGGGAAAATCTGGAGACATTCAGTGGAGCCAGCCTATGGAAGAGGATATATATGCTGTAGGCAAGAGTGTTAGAGGGACATGGCTACCTAAGTGCTTTGGAACTAAGGTAATTTTAGTAAAACTCTATAATGGCAGGTATGGAAATGCAGGATTTGGAGTTTGCTCTGCTGGGTGTTGGTCTTACTTGGTTCAATTTTTCTAAGCTATGCTCTCACCCTTCCTTCCCTTTCAGAATGGAAAGTCTGTCCCATTTTATATTGAACTATGTAATGTGTTTCTTGGTTTTGCAGAGGTCCATAGTTAGGAGATTATCTTGAGTCTCTCCCTTTCTCTTCTAGAGACACAGTCTCAGTCTGTTATTCTAAGTGACCTGGAGCTCACCAGGTAGTCCAAGATAGGCTTAAAACCCACCTGCCTCTGCCTCCCAAATACTGAAAGCCTGTGCTGTCATATCGTCAGCTGCCTTGGATCTCAAAAGAGATTTTATACTTCTAAAAGTTACAGGAATGTTTAAAGTTGGACTGACTACACTTGAATGAATTTTGCATGAAGAACAGCTGTCTGGTCACATGCCTATTGGAGTTAGATGTGGAAAAATGAGATTGAACATAAGATGTCCTTCAGAGGGTCATGTGTTTTAACCTTACTTCCCAGCTGGTGAAACTGTTTGGGAAGACTCTGGAACCTTTAGGAAATGGCGCCTCATTGTAAGAAGTGGAATACTGGGATAGGCCATGATGTTTTGTTTCCCAGCCCCACTTTTATTTTCACCATCTTCCACCTAAGTATGGTTGCAGCATGGCCATTCAGCTTCTTGCTCCTGCCACATAACTTTCCCTCCGGCTGCCAAGTGTTTGCTGCCATGACAGGTCCTAACACTTTGAATGAGTAAGACACAGTTAAACTGTACTCCTTTGAATTGCTTTGTCAGGGAATTTTATTACAGTGAAAAAAAGAGATAAAAGAAAGAAAAAAAAAGAAAAAGAAAAATAAAAGATTTCTGTAAAAAATCGAGAAAGATATGATTCAAAGGAAAAAATCGCTTAATACACAGATGTTGTATTGATAGGTAGTAGTGAATACAGGAAATGCATCCATGTCTTAACAAATACTAGGAGTTCAGAGATCTAGACTTAGCACCCTGGAGGACAGCCAGTGAAAGATGAAAGTAAGGTACTTGCATGATAAGAAGCCAGAAGAGATCATCCTATATTCACTGTACTAAAATGGGTAGTCACATGTTACTTTAGTCACACAATGCCAAAGTTTACCAATCACTGTTTTGAAACATACAAAGCACATTACAGATCCTATCATATCTTTCATTTTTAAATGTCATTGTACTGAGGGACCAAGCAGGACTAAACTGTTTCAGTAACATCCCACTGTGATAAACGTAGGATTTGTGTGCAGCCTAGCCATCCAGTTCCAGAAAAAAAAATAGTTACTTCTTACTGTGATTACTGGCTGCCATTCTGCACAGGACCTCACTTCTCCTTTAGCCTCTGACAGAATGGCACTGGCAAATGGCTATTATTATTGTCCTTGCCTCAGCCTGTTGAGGTAGAAAATGTCCTTATCTCTGCTTATCTTCAAACTACAGAAAAAGCCACTACAACAATCATATAAATACACAGAGGCAGACTGCAACATCTACACTTGAGTAACACTGCCCAGACACCTGGCAAGAAACCATGTGTAATGCTAGGTTTGGGCATGACCTAAGGTTCATTCAAAGGGATTGATTTACTACCCATATCTGCTACTTCAGCCTTATTTTCCTCTAATATTCACTCTTACCTGAGCAACCATTCACTGTCTACATTCTGACCTCTATATTTATATACTTTATGCACCTGAATTAAACCTCTTTCTGGGTTACTGGAACATTGTGTCCACAAATCTATAACAACAGAGAGGCAGTTATTTAAAAAAAAATCTCTGGTTCTATAAATCACTGGAATTGTTCAATGTTGGCTTTAGGATTTAACAGGTTGCTCTATGTTTCTCAGAAGGAGGGGTTCCTCTGTGTCTCACCCCTGTTCCTTTATTTAGTTCTCTTATCACAATTGGTAACTGGATTGTTATATAGAGATATTTTCCTATAAGGCATAGATAAAAGCTACCCATCACAGAGACAAATGAACTGCTCTGTGAGGAATGCTATATGATCCAGGGTTATAATAACCCCTTGCTTTTCAAAGCACTTGTTTTGGGTATTCCATTGATCTTCAGATACTCTCTGTTAACTTAATTAAAAGTACATTCAAAATTCAAATACCTTTGGCCATGTTGACCTTAGTCTTGTCCTCCACTTTATGTATTTAAATGCAAGACAATAGAACGTCTAAAAATCAAGTAACCTAACATAAAATAATTTGCACTTGAAAACATAGTCAAATGCCATCTTCTTAATATATGCACATCATTTACACTCTAGACAAGTTTTTTAATGGGAGAAAACACATGAGGTAATTAACATGGATCATGTTAGGAAAACCAGCTAACAATAATAGTGTTGTTCTTCTTGGCATAACTCTCAGTGTGCAACAGATGTCATTAGTTTAGCAAATTTCAACAATGCAAAATAAAATAAGGAGAGCTTTTCTAGTAAACACTATGTTTAAAAAAGAAAGCTATTTGTCAGGGCATCCATGCCTAGTTAATTCTTTTAGTTTCTATGACATTTAACTCATAAAATTCATGATAGTGTAAGTAAAAATGGTAAGGTCAAAATGCCCTTAAAATATTACATAGTAAGCAGTTACCCTACCTTTACAGGCACAAGTTAGCCCAACAATGGGGGTCTCTTTGAACAAGGACATTGTAGAAATACTCTATCATTGTTATAATTTCTGAGAAATAATGGACATGATTTTCTCTTCCACATGTTAATTTATATCTTACACAAGTAAATGGATATCTGACTTACAGCTACTTATACTATGACTTCAAATATACGAAAGCAAAATTCCATATTCAATAAATACAGTAACCACAAAATAAAAGTTAGGGATTTTTATAGCTCTCACTTTTCTCCAAATGAGTTAATCTTTGTAGCATAAAAGATAAAATGATGAACTATAAAAAATAATGAACAAAATAAAATTTGTTAGTTTTCTGAAAATTCCAGCAATTTTAATTTTCATATATTTTTAGGAAAATGTAATATTCATGTTTTAAAGAAACTTCAAGACATTTTGCCTGCTTTGAATTTTGCAATTACAAATTTACTAAAGGTGGCAGCTAAATTTTCTCAGAGTGACATGCTTACTGCGGAACCTTTGTTAATGAAGATCTGTGGATTAAAACGTCATATTGCCTATAACGTTTACATGGTAATTAAAAGCTATGAGAAATCCCCATGCCTTAATTTTAACAGCCATTATCTTTTCATTAAAACCAGCCATATATTACTTAGGAAATTTACTTTCTCTTTTTTTTTCCAGATGGAAATGTAAACAAAAATATATTAAAACAGATCTTCTATGAAAATCTGACATTTTTGCTTCATAACTGTGTGAAGCTCACTATTGCATAGAACACTTATGGTATTTGCCAACATAGAATTTCAATTACAATATTATGACTATGGTCTTGGCATTTGGGAAATTGCAGGCATATGTGTATATTTTGGGAGTACATACCTTCATTAAGGTACCAAATTTTGGGGTAAAGTTTTCTGTGGAAGAGCTATCTGAGGGAAACCAAGAACTTTCCTTAATCTAACATTTTACTGGATGATATTTGTCTTTCCTCAAATTTTCTAAGACTTATTACATTTGCATACATATTCCCACTGCATTTACTACAGGAATCAGGGAAAGACATGATATCATTTTGTCAAAATATCTAGACAAGAAGAGAATTGAAAGTTAGTTTAAATATTATTCCTGTATTTATTCTAAATTACCAAGCACATAGAATCATTTGGGTCAAAACATAACTTTGTGTACATTTCTTGTTACAATATGGACAAATGTACCCTCTTGTTGTTTTGAAGATAATGTCATAGCTTTCATGGTTTGAGTGAACATGCCCCAAGTGCTATCATGAAGACTCGATACCAAATAGTTCTGTGATGTCTATGTTGTGCTGTACATTGCAGGATGATTAGCTGTATCCTTAACTTTTATTTGTAGGTGTCCACTCTATCTGCCTTGATATGGCCATGCCAAATGCGTATAGATTCTGAATATGCTATATAGGTAGAAATAGGTGACCCCTGGTACCTTTATCTAAACACATTCATTCTACTTGAAAAGAAATGTAAAAGATATAAGAAGGATTAAAAAAGGGGGGATGGGGGAGCTGGAGGAGAGGAGGAAGGAGGAACTGGGATTGGAATGTAAAATATAAATTAAAAAAATGAAAAGAGGATGAAGATATTAAGAGTAATGGTGCAGAAATAAAAGGGCAGAGAGTGATAGGGAGTGTGATCTTGCCAGAACTAATTTGATAGTTCCATGTACTGCCATAATTCTTATCAGTTCTTCCCTAACACATAATAAGTTCTTGCATTCAAGAGTTAAACATGAACAAGAGCACTGGTTTCCTGGTTGGTTTTTCCTTGTAAGCAGGAGTTTCTAATAGTGTGTAGTATTATAGCTCAAAATGAAATCATGCATACAAAATGCTTAGTAAGATTTAAAATTGATTCATATCTGGGCATCCACACCACTGCTTATGAGCAAGAATTCTATTTAGAAGAAATGATATATGTGTATATGTGTATAAATACATGCAAAAACAAAAAAGATTAAATGTTAATGATTTCCAAGTAACACTAATAAAATTAATATACTTACAATGTTAATTTAAACATTTAAGAAAATATATCCTCATGTAAATATTCATTTCTGGGAAGCTAATTTAATTTATTATGTGATTGTGTGCCCTGATTAAGATGACTTTTTAAGAGAAAGTTTTCCTATCAGATAGATTTTTCTCATCATATACAGCATATTTATTAAGTCTGAAGGCCCAGTACTTAGAATCCTTCATAATGACAGTAGTGCTCCTTGCCAATATAATGTTGGACTACTGCTGTGTCTTTTCCAGTACCTTTTCTGGTCCATTACAGGAAAACTGAGCTCCTTGTTCTTG